TGATGTAGGTTCATCTATAAATGCAAATGGAACTGAATCTCTCTCCCATCCCAAATTGTGAGCTGCCAGGATTTTGAGAAACCTTCACAATACATGAATTGTGAATGAGCTGTGTTCAGTTTGGTGGGTCTTAATATTGTGCAGGTCTGGGTTACAATATTACTCCTCCTTAAGTTGGAAAAGCTGCTTCATACGACAGATTTCCCATGCCCTTTGTTTGTTAGTCTGAACTTCATAGAATTTCCCCTTTCCAGCTCCAGAGCATGCAACCAACATCCTGTGATTCACATTTGCCATGCAAGTGGTATTACACTCCGCAGTAACTAGAGAAGTCAATATGGCACCCTTGATTCATGCCCCCGTCTTTGCTTGCATGGACTTGCAGGTCTAGGATTGATATCCTGGGAGATGGTTGTCTGTATCAGTGACTGATTCTCAGCTGCAATTTTTTTTAATGTCTCCAGATGCAAGGGAAGGCAGGGATCTACCATTACAAAAGAAATAATTTTTGAATGTATAGCTAGCTACAGAAAGGCTACAGTTTACGTCGTTCCCTGCCTGCAAACTTAACAGGGGATGTGAGGGATACTGTTATAGTTTCACAATGGAAATGTCTATGGCAGCAACTCTGGGGTTTTGGCAAGGGCTTTTCGGTTCCTCTTGCCTTTTTACTTTGCTTAGGCCACTCCCAAAATCTTAGAGATGCGTTGCCATCCTTTACACTTGTATGCATGGACCTCTGAGAGCAACTTTAGTTCTGAATCCTTTGGAGGTTTTATAGTTTGTGGTTTAATAAGTCTTGTGTTTGAAGAACCAGGTGACTGAACCTGCAGAAGAGAACATGGCTTTAAGGGAAAAGCCTTTAAGGGAAAAGAGCCAGGCAAGAGTTCTCTAAGGTGATTTTTTCATGTTCTGACTATGTAGCAGAATGTAACAAAACTGCAATTCTTACATTAGGAAATCTGGAGGATACATTAGTGTAGGCGAGGCACTAAGTTGCTATGGAGATGGAAACCAAGTTAGGTAAAAATAGCTGGTATGTCAGCAATGCTGTGTTTATCACCAAGCTAGTGATTCTGCATTGCGCTCTCTCCCTCTCCTTCTCCCTCTCCCTCCCCTCTCCCTCCCCTCCTTCTCTCCCTCCTTCTCTCCCCTCCTTCTCTCCATAGTTTTATTTCTTGCTCAACTACTTACAGGACAAGAGTTAGATCATCTGTTGTGCAGATGGCCCCAGCTTAAATCCCTGGCATCGGGTAGGGATGAGAAATCATACGTGTCACCGTGTGAGTCACTGCTAGTTGGTGTAGACAATACTGAGCTAGATGACTCAGTATAAGGCAGCTTCTTCCTGTGTTCCTATGACCTCTGTGTGATCCATATGCTGCATGGATTTTCTAATGGAAATGGAGAGTCAAAATGGTGGGATGATGGGAGGTTGGCTAGAGGTTCCAGGTTCAGTGCAGAACAAGCATTCCCATGGCTGCAGTAATAGCTTTTCCTACCCAATCCTGGGGCATCTCAAAACAGCAGGCCACAGAGTTGCCATTTCCTTTTCATTCCCCACCTACAGTATGGCTGGATGCTAATGGAGTCTGCCTGCTGGGAGGACCGGTATATGTGTGTGGGAGCTTAATGGGTTCTGCTTCTAGCTCAAGGTTTATATTATAACAGCTGAGGCTAAATAAAATAGATGACATTCTTTGAGGTGAGAGACACGGCCTTTCAGTCACACTGGCTGGTAGATCTGCTATGTGAGCTGTTGGGTCATTTAGCTAAACATTTATATTTGCTGTTTCTCCTGAGGGGATTCCTTGTTCACTCGAGGGATCCTTTAATGTAGCTGTGACGTAGGGCCCCTCCAGACAGGCGTTTTATTTTGAGAGTCTTCTTCAACATGCTCTTGACACAATAATAGTGAAACAATGGCGGATTTATTCTGCTTTCATTTGCAATTCTTCCCCAATGCTGCCTCCTTATTGCTGCCCAGAGGAACTGTAGTGCAATGAAAGCAGGACAAAAAAACCCCAAATATTTTTGTGTATAAAATGTTATGGGGTGCTTAGTAGGAAGTTGCATGATATGCACTGATAGGAGATGAAACAGTGTGGCTACACCAAAACTTTTGCAGTATTGAAAGCAGCATCACATATGACTACCCTGGTAACATCATGAGCACAAAGAATCATGGATGTACAATAAAAAGACCTGGAGGAACTCTTAATCAGTAGAAAATGTATTGCAGTATGGCTAAAGATTTCCATTAGGATGGGCTGCAGAAGAAATTATTTTTCTGTTCATTTTATTCACATTATAATGTGACACTCAATGTCTTCCAGCTTTGCCCCTCCTGTATTTCTTTGGACAAGGTTTATTTGTTTCAGTTGAGTCTGTTTTGGTGGAGCACATTTCAGATAGCACTGTTTGGGATGATTGATGTTTGCTAGGTCTGTTTCCTGTGAATCACACACATTTCCGCTGATTCACCTTAGCTGCATTTTGTTCTTTCCAAATGGCAAGTTTTCACATTTGTTCAAGACGAAACTCTTGTATCTCTGTCTCTCTCTCTTCTATCCCCCTTCCCCATCATGAGCCCATGGGAGGAAGCAAGTAAAAAGAAAAACAGGAAGGGCTTCACGTGAGGAATGTGCTTTTGTAAAGCAAGGCTGGGTCAATGTACAGAGGAGAGGAATAAGGAAGACATGTACTTCTCTGATTTGCAGGGAGAAAAACACCCCATGACCTGTGACTATAGACATACTGGCTGGTTTGGCTAGAAAGTGGGGGAGGAGATGGGGATGTATTTTGATCACTAGACAGAGCAATCCCTTCCTCACCACCCTCCTTTAATCTCCTCATTCCAAATGCCCGTTCATATACCTGATGTGACCCAGTTGGGGGGAAACACTAGGGAGGGGAAAGCTGTAGGTCATGATTGGGGGAAAGGGAAAGGTGTGATATAAATCTAATAATGAAAATAAACCAACATAAATCTGTGCCATGGCTGGCTGAACCACTTTGGAAAGCTGGTGTGAGCTAATATGAGAGAAATTCTCTTCTACACATACAAATCCTCCCTGAAAACTGGAGAGAAAGCTTCCAGCCTAGCCTCCTCCCACACACCTAGGCTTGTTTGTGTAGGGAAATGTTTTTCACAGGGAGTATTCCCTGTTCTGATCATATATAGATTGGAAGTTGGTGGGCAAGACTCATTTTAACAGTGAAATGGGAAAGAGGTTTGCTGATGCTTTCCTTCTCTCACAGCTGACTACCCACAGTCATTTGCTCCAAATGCTTTTCTTCCTTTCCATAGCAGAAGTAGGAAGGAAAGAGAGAGACAAATGCCTGGAGAATGAGAGAATCTAAGGTAAAGTGGGGTTGGGCAGCAGGGAAGGAAGGCTCAGTGTCCCTCTCCTGCACATTTCTTTTATGTTTGTGATGCCATTTGCTCCTGTGTGGTTGGGCCCACCAGCACCACACTTCCAGTTCACAATAGTAAGAAAATGCAAACATGGTGTGGCGGGCATCCAGTTCCAACTGGGGCCACAGTGGGGGCAACGGGTTTAATCCCCCCTCTCCCCACATCACAGCTCCAATCCAGCTTGAGGCTTCCCTAGCTGGCTTATTGCTTTAAGACAAAACTGTTATATTGGACCAGATTTATCCGTTGTCCTCAGGGTTTCATCCTCATGTGGGAAGTTGGAAAGGTCTAATCAAATTAAGTTTCTTTCAGGAAGGTCAGATCAGGCATGGTCAAGGCTGGTCAAATCTAGTTGGGCAAGGTACCAGCCAGCAAGAATCAGGACCCTGGACAGCTCCTAATGGGCCTTGCTAACTGAGATATGAAAGATGTTGCTCCAACAGAGCACCATCTGAAGCCAGCTGTTTCCCTTAAAGGGCCTATGCCTGATGTTGTATCCTTTGACTTTTGCATGGTGTGTGTCCTAGACTCTAGGAAACAGAGGAACTGTTCAAGACGGTTTCCTGAGTCCAAGGAAAGAGGTAGAGGCCATATCCTTTGGTTGGGAGGGCATGGGAGAAGCTACTGCAGGTCCTGCCCTGGGAAAAGTGGCTTGAACCTCATCCTCATCTGAACACTGTCAGGGATCATGTCACAAACTATGTCCAGTCTGGCCCTTGGGTACCCCTTGAATTCTGTGGGAGGGGAAAGCAGACACCCACCACTTCATGTTTAGTCTGATCTTGAGAACTAGGCATAGTCACCTCTGCTTCCAAATGCAGAGCTAAGCAGATTTTAAAACATATGCTTTCAAATGTGTTCTGTATAACGTATGCACCATGCACCAAGAATGCATGAAAGCACTCTATGCCATGTGCTAAGAGTTGCCTAGCTTTTATCTTGGATAGCCTGAACAATCTCATTGTAGGTTTCCCTTTGGGAGTGATTCAGCCACATATATTTTATACATCCTGTCTCTCTTAAGACATTGTAGTTACAAAATCATACATCGCTAAAGAGGAAAAAAACCCCAAAGTGGTAAAGATGAGGCTATAAATCTACTTGTTATAAGATGGAATTCATGGCTTGCTCATGCATATATCATTTAACGATGACGCTCTCATAAACGAATATTGCTTTGTTGAAATTGAATGTGCTACAGAGATTTACATCAGCTGCTGATCTGTCAAACCACTTCTAATCTATTTAATATATCTTCTCATAAGGATGGATTGTTTAAAGCGGTTTGTAGCATAAAGTCAGCAATTATTCTCAGACAATGATGATAATTATAATGTCCAGGGTTCTTCCTTTCCTGTGGTGGCTTCCTTTACATGTGGAGTATGACCACATTAACCAAAGGAAGTCAAATCATTGCTGATTTCTTATTCATCCTACCACATCTTTAGAATACCTCTTTAAAAAAAACATGTGGAAAACTACTGTGATTTTAGGAAATGCCTACAGAATGATCAAGGGTTGAAAAATGCAACTCTTAAGTACATTAATGGTTTTGTTTGGTCTTTTTATTTTTTCTCATTAGATGATCAGCCATGTCCTATTATTCTTTGGGATACCTCCTTGGCTCAGACCGATAATGAGACACACTCGTCATTGAAGCTAACGTGGGGGGCTTACAAGCAACAATTAAAGCAAAAGTGTTGGCAAAATGGCAAAGTACCCAAAACAGAGTGGGGATGTACAGATATCCATCACTATGAGTGGTCCAAGATGGCACTACTTGATTTTCTTTTACAGGTAAGGCAAATGGACTTATTGCCTGTATACAGGATTAATTATAGCAACACATTTTATTGAATAAACTATTTATATAAAAAATGCTGGTGGTAAGGGAGCCACATTTGAAACCTCTGCAATGCAGAAGTGTTACAGAAATTAGAAGTCAAAACTAAGTATGATAGAGAATTCTTACCCAGAGGGCAAATGGTTGATATGTCCTAGCCCTTCCAATAAAACTCACTTCCTTTAGAAATAACTAAGTAAATTCTGGTCAATTTGTGTCAAGGCTTTACTCTTAAGAACTGCAAAGTCCTTGTGTTCCTGACTAGGGCGGAAGTAGCAATGTTAGGTCACAGGCTTGGCAATTCAAGCACATCATTATGAAACTGTCTAGAGCTTGAAATTCTCAGAGTTTTACCATGATCCACAAAGGATTTCCTTCCCTGCCCCTGAGCAAATAATGACAGTGTAGGGGAGTCACCTTATTCATCTCATTCATCTAGGTTCTTACAAGGTAAGATTCCTCACTTTGTAAGCCCAGAACAGGAGGCTGTTTATGAATGAACAGTTTTATACACAACTGTATGGGAAAATGAAAGCAACCACAAGAACAAGCTAAAGGGTGGAGTCATAGCTCCAACCCATGTAATGGGAGGCAATGTTTAATTCTATCATTACCTATTACTACAAGGAAAATCATGAAATAGGCCTGGTTAGGTATCCTTAAATAAATATACTATCCAGAGCATGTGATGCTGGCAACAAGGCACTATTAGAGTTCCGTTTCTATACATGCAGCTTTCAGTCATTCCATTGGTGCAAATCCAGGAGAAGGTTCTGGTTGTCTGTAACTTCTAGTTACATGTATAAATTGTCCTTTGATTTCTAAAATAATTCAGCTTTCTGCACACTTGTAAATTGCAGAAATCATTGAGTTGCCGGTTTTCATAATGGCACGTAGGTAGTACATACAGTATTTAAGTATAATTCATATGCAAACACTATAGGTATGGCTATTACAGGACGTTGATTTCTAAACTAAAAATAGATTGTCACGTCTAATGTCTCTCAGTATATCCCTGAGTATGTCATGCTTGGCACCCAATTGAAAGTCACGGTATTTATTGTACGGATACTAAACATAGCAACAGCCATACAGGAATAGCATAGAGACTGTAGCAGTCTCAATGTGTTCATGTGGAACCATTAATATTTCTCTCTCAGTAATGGAGTATATAGTAAATGGTCTTCTCTCTAGGGAACCACATTTAAGCCACATTAACTTTGAAATTTAGGGGCCTGTAGCGTAAACACTGCAGCTTAGCAGAAAGCATGGCACCATTATCATTATTCAGAAATAGTAGCTGGAGTGTGTTGGTAAACTGAAGCAGCCATAGGAAGATGAAAGGACACAGAATGTGGATTTATGTTTGGGGAAGAGCACATGCTGAGTTTACCACACTGAAATTTAAGGAAGCGAGTGCTGGAAGAAAGGCCTGCTCCCTGCTGCAAAGCCCATTTCCACCTGGCTTAGGGGGCAGAGCCCAGACTCACCTTGAAGAGTTAAAAGAGGCTCCTAGGAGGCCACTGGGAGATTGCTGGAACAACTCTTGGGTTGGGGCAACTGGCTAAAATGTTTTAAACTGTTCTAATTTTGGTTCCTCTGTTTTATTTTTGTTGGGTTAGTGTTGGTTAAATGTTTAGTTGGGGTTGGCGGATATTTTAATTTGGGTATAACTAAACTGTTTATTGTTGTTGTTGGTTTCTATTGATTTATTGTTTTATTGGTTTGTTTGTTGCTTGTGTGACAAGGGACGTGGGTGGCGCTGTGGGTTAAACCACAGGGCCTAGGACTTGCCGATCAGAAGATTGGCTGTTTGAATCCCAGCGACGGAGTGAGCTCCCGTTGCTCGGTCCCTGCTCCTGCCAACCTAGCAGTTCAAAACATGTCAAAGTGCAAGTAGATAAATAGGTACCGCTCTGGCGGGAAGGTAAACGGAGTTTCCGTGCGCTGCTCTGGTTCACCTGTAGCAGCTTAGTCATGCTAGCCGGCTCCCTCGGCCAATAAAGCGAGATGAGCGCTGCAACCCCAGAGTCGGCCACGACTGGACCTAATGGTCAGGGGTCCCTTTACTTATACGTTTACCTTGTTGCTTGTGTAGGATATTTCGTTTTTAAATGTTTGATGTTTTGTTGTGTTTTTATATATGTTATAAGCCACCCAGAGTAGCTGGGGAAACCCAGCCAGATAGGCGAGATATAAATTATTATTTTATTATTAATAATAATTCAGAGGAAATTAATGACACAAGTAGCGCAACATTTCAGAATGGTAAATTGCTATTTGGTCAGATGGTACTGCTACTAAATGCTGCACAACTTGAAACATGATCTAGTCTCCCTTTGTATCCTCCTCACTCTCTTCCTACATACCCTTGTGCATGGGAGCTGATTGCCACTGACCTCTGCCCCTTTGATTGACATTCCAGGCATACAAAATAGGCAGCTCTTTGGAGGAGAGTGTTGCAAGCATGCAACTGTATTTAAGGGGCTGGATTGGGCAAAACAAACAGATCCAAGAAGGAATGATAATAACAAACATGAACATGCTAAAAATTGCACATGCAGAAGCAATCATGCTGAGTATGGAATATATAGGTATCCTGTAGACCACATGCCATATATTATAAGAGCTGAGCGAAACATATTTCAGGAAATTTTTCTTTTTTGCAGGCCATATGCATTTGTGCTGGGAATATGAGTGTCACAACTCTAGGTAGTTGTCAAGTGCAAGTTTCCTATACATTTGTATATGCCTGTCTTGTCTTCAAATGTTAATAAGGTTCTGGGAATGCTAGGGTCTATTTTTCCCCCTGTAACATGTGAAACAGCTCCTCTACAGAGTCAGAGAAATGGTACATGTAACTGACTCTTCTCAAGCCTGGAAAGCAACGCTCCAGGGAGTCAGGGAGCAGCAGGTCTGTATGAATTAAGGATTTTAATTTATTTCTAAAGCTGATGAACAGTTGTGATGCCTCACGTTCACATGTGCTTTGGTGGCATCCCATAAACCTGGTAGATGTTTTCATATGATTGCATCTTGATGATTTACCTGAATTCATTTTCAGATCTACCATCGCTTGGACAAGAACTGCTGTGGGTTCAAACCACGCAAAGAAGATTCCTGTGTCCAGAAAGGATTGAACCTGAATTGTGATGACCAGGATAATGTTGATTTGACACACATTATCCAGAGAAAAGATGATCCAAGGCATTTGGTCTTTATAGATAATAAAGGTTACTTCGACAGAAGTGAAGACAATCTGGATTTCAAAATATTACAAGGCATAAATGAGTAAGTTCTATAATATACCAGCAATGTGTATAGGGTGGGGAGCTTCCTGGCCATCCAAAGGCTGAATGCAGATCTCCAGGCCTCTCTGTCTGGCCATACATTGGCATCAAGCAACATGGCTGGGGAGCTGTAAGAACACTGGGGTTACGTTCAGTAATGTGGACTCTAAGCATTATCCCTTTCCATGTGGATGATTGTGGGCTCTTGACCTTGATGTCTCTCACTACACTTTGATTAATCACTGCCCTTTCCTCTTCATGCCTACTTTCCTATATGCAAAACATATTACATGTAGATCTCACAAATATTGCTCATTGCTGTTCCTGTTCCAACTCTGCTTCTTGAATCTTCAAGCCTTCCACTGGTCTTACCACTCTTGCTACCTGCTTTTTGCTTCTCACTTGACATACTTGTTTTGGGGAGGACTGAACTCACCTTGCCTCTTTTACATTTACTACAAGTGAAATAATGATGTATAAAAATAGGAAAGGCTTAAATCACTGACAAAAATCCTGTGAAATTTGATCAGAGGTGACTTGTTTGTTTACTTGCAGGTTCCCTGAATCGGCAGTCTCCGTGCTGAAAAGCCAGCGTTTGCGAGAGAAGATTCTACAGTCTTTGTTCCTTGACAGAATTTTTTGGGAAAGCCAAGGTGGTCGTCAAGGCATTGATAAATTAATTGATGTGATTGAACAGAGGGCCAAAATTCTTCTTACTTACATTAATGCTCATGGGGCAAAAGTACTGCCAATGAATGAATGAAGGCTCAGTCCTGTGCACACTTACATGGGAATAAGAAACACTGCACACAGTAGGACTTACTTCTAAGTAAACACACATAAGATTGTGCTGAATGGGGGAATGAGAAAAAAACTAGTTCTAATGAAAGGGTCACAGAGTTTCATTAAATAAGAAACTCAGACAGGCACACCTGATGTGAAACTTGTTGACAATACTTTTAATTTATAAAGCACACATGAACAAATGTTCAAACATTTTTTAAATTTGTATTCTCTAAAGGAGCCTGAGATGTAAGCATCCGAAATCACTTGCTTTATAAACCATACGTATATCTATTTTTGTTTCTACTTTGGACACCAATAATATATGGTAGAAGTTTCACCATTTATTTGATTTCAATAGATGTTGCTCACTTTAGGGGAAAAAACATCTTAGACTACTTATTTCAATGGGACTGTTCTAAAAAAAGTGGTTTTTAGGATCGCTGAAGACTTGCTTCAGGAAAACATTTATACAAGGATTTTTCTGTTTCTTTCCAACAAAAATAGCAGATCCCAACTGCTGTTGATATTTCTGTATGTGTCAAGTATTGTTTAGTAAAAAGACCAAATTCAGTGTTCTTGGAATTAGGAGTATGATATTTTATATTTAGTTTTTTTTAAAAAAGGAAATATGTTATCCATTGAACTAAGCAGATGTTTCATGGTTATGTTACATACTTGCTTTTGAGGTTCTTTTTAGAACTTGTCTACAATCTGTCAATCATTGTTCAAAAATTCTGCAGAGAACCGTCTACCTTTGTTTAGCTGTTTAAGCAATGAAATCAAGTTTTCAGTATGTAAAATACTGGCAATTGTAACTTTAGTTCTTGAGTATTCTATGATATCAAAACATGACTTTGAAGACATTCCTTCCAGTTAATATATTTTTAAGAATACTGATAAAACCATAATGAAAAGGGACATGAATATCGGTATTGTCACTAGTATGGAAGCTTACATAAAGCATTGTGTTCTGGTTTTTCGATCTCATTGTTAGCATATAGGCTTTGAACTCATGATGGGATGGAGGCAAATGCACCTCTAGTATCCTGGAGATAGAGTCTGCCCCAAGAGTGTTTAGTATTTGTATAGTTCATAGTGACCAGCTGCATTGTCCTGTGTCTCACCAAAGAATCCTGAAATGTATAGTTTGATGAGTGTGTTTTAGAGTATGGATTAACCAACCTAAGTCTCTGGGTCATAGGTTTCAGGTCGTACAGAAACTAATTCTCAGGTGGTTGCCCTTTATTCATTCAGCTGCAAATGACAGAAGGGCTTGGCTGAAAAGGGAGTCAACTGCATCAACGGAAAGCACAAAACCAATCCCACCCCCCAGGCCACAACACCACTGCAATGTAAGTTCTCAAAGTAGCTCCCCCCCTGTTGTTCTTTGTATGAGAGATTGCAATCATTTGCTGAATGTAAATGATTGAATAGCTCATATTATGATGGCCTGGTGTTTGTCCCTGAAAGAAAACCGCCCTTTTTTGTATCCATAAATCCAGCCCTGTGTTTTGTGTGCCTGTTTCCCCAACTGTGGCTTGTGCCAAACAAGCACTCACCACAGGAATTTACATGCTATTACATTTTTTTTCCCTGCTCACCTTAACTGCTGGGGCAAGGGTGACAGCTAAATTAAGCAGCAGGCTTTTATTCCAGCCTGGGAAATGGGACAAAATGAACTATGAAACAAAGCTTTCCCAGGCAAACACGGAGCAGCATACACTTGTTTCAGTCACTTATTTTGTAAGAATCTGTATCAGGCTACTTTCCATTTATGGGCACATGGGATCAGACATATTTTCACATTCCAGACTAGTCTGAAGCAATGGGAGTAGCAAGGAATCCAAGCCCTTTTGTGTGGGAGAAATATTCAAGAAAAATATTGGGTGAAATGCCAACTTTTAAACAACTCTGAATATTTTCTTAATTATAAAATCTAGGGATGTTTGCTAGCTGTTCTCACGCTAAGGAATCCCCTGCCTTCTCTTGCTGCAAATGATAAAACAGGTCTGTTCAGTTCCCCATTGCAGTGCCCACTTATTTACAAAACTGTGTTTATTGTTGTTGTTTTTTACATTAAGGAGAAATGCTCCAATTTGGAGCTCAGCATTACACACACGAAACACAATCTTTCCCATCCAGTTTAATAGAGACTTGTGAATAAATTCTTTTTGCACACTTGGTGCTAGGAGTCTTTGCATATACTGGAGAGATGGGTGTTCATTCCTCCATGCTCACAAACAGTTTACCCAAGGAGACAAGGCTTGATAAGAAATAGTCCCTTCTTATGTCTGAACTGGCAGACACCAGAAATTATAATCAGACTCTGAATTTTCTGGGACTTATCTTTGTGGTCAGCATGGAACCTGACCTGAATGTGCACTGTCCTTTTAAAACACATTGTATTAGACCATCAGTATAATGAAATTTTAATGAAACTCTTGCTGGCAAACATTACTGTAAAAGATGAAGTGTATTGAGAGCAGGCAACTCTATCCTCTATCCAGAAGAAAGCATGTATAGAAATTAAATAATGAAAGTAAAAACCAAGCAAACATGTATTTGAAATATTAGCAAGACACACTAGAATATTAATACAGAGTAATGTGGATTGTGTTGTTGGTAACAACTTTGCAGTTGATTCCATCTATGTTTGTGCTTTGAATTTATGTATATTTTTGCAGCATTAGCATATTTCACTTGCACTGCTGATGTTAAATATACTTTTGGTTTTATAAGAGGATTTTAAAAAATGTATCTGCTGTTGTCTTGGTAAAAAAAATTAAAAACTAAAAACAGTATTTCACAGCTTTATAAATATTGGATGCTTTGAAGTAATTATATTAACTCTATTGAAAAGCACAGGTCGCTAATTTATTTTTAAACTTGAATAAGCTTAGCTTAGAAAAACAACCCAAGATAGATTATGAAACCTTGTTTGATGGAAATATTTTTAGTTGTTTATTCATTTGACTTGTAATGGTTGCCAATATCTTGCCTTTAAATATATCCTCTGGGTTTTTCTGTGCTTGCTCTTCCAAACATATTTAGGGTCAAAGCTAATCTTGTGTATTTGAGGTGGAAAGCAATGGCAATAACTTCAAACAACATAAACTGGCTGATGCTCAAAATCATGTCATACTTCTGGGAATGTACCACTTAAGAATGCAGGTGGAGAACAGGGCTTACGCGCACATGAAGGGGCATAGCTGGACAAGTTATTTTGGCACCCAAGGGTGGGAGGGAAATCCCAGAAACACCTCTTCCCCTCCCTAGCAGTAATAATACAACAATATTTTCTTCCGTTTCATGACACCCAGAATCAGCTGCCCAAGATGGCTACCTTCTTCTGCCTAATGGTAGGGCCAGCTCTGGCCAGAAGGCCACATGTTTAAATGCTTTCCCAGGTAAAATAAAAAGTGCATTGGCTAGGCCAGAATGTGTTTTCAATATGCCAGGGTTTTTTTTTCTTCTTGAAAAATATGCTAGTTTTCTGACCTGAATAAGTCTGAGAATACACCACGTTGGCTCTCAGACTTCACTAGGGCCTTCTTTTATCCCCCCACAACTGGCCAGCCACCAGAATAAATGAAGAATGATCTTCCCCTAAAGGACAACATCTGCTATGAGCAGCTGTGTAACTGAAGAGTGTAAGCCTCTTGTGTCCACTTTCCTTGAAGAGCCAAGGACATCATATGATGTCTGCTGCTAAAGGAGTGCTGCTTAAGGTGTGGTGTGGTCCCCTCCTCTTTCCTTACTAAATGAACCTGCACTGTTTTATGAAAACAGATCTTGACTGGATTGTAACAATGCTATGTGTTTTGAATCAGAATCCCTCCCAAAGCTAGTGGCATTTCTACTGTAGTTATGGATTTGCACACCAGCCATCTAGGCTTGGGATAGGGGATGGGGAGAAATTTGATTCAGTCTTCTTCTTCCCTTCTTCTTCTTCTTCTTCTTCTTCTTCTTCTTCTTCTTCTTCTTCTTCTTCTCCCCCACTCAGTGTAGCTTACAGATAAAAATAACAACTAAAACATAGAAGAAAAACAATAATTAAAGGTAAAGGTACCCCTGACCATTAGGTCCGGTCGCGGATGACTCTGGGGTTGCAGCGCTCATCTTGCTCTATAGGCTGAGGGAGCTGGCGTTGGTCTGAAGACAGCTTCCGGGTTATGTGGCCAGCATGACTAAACCGCTTCTGGCGAACCAGAGCAGCGCATGGAAATGCTGTTTACCTTTCCGCTGGAGCGGTACCTATTTATCTACTTGCACTTTGATGTGCTTTCGAACTGCTAGGTTGGCAGGAGCAGGGACCGAGCAACGGGAGCTCACCCCGTCACGGGGATTCGAACTGCCAACCTTCTGATCGCCAAGTCCTAGGCTCTGTAGTTTAACCCACAGTGCCAGCCCTTTGGTGATGATTTTAGAAAAGGGTAAATTATTGCTCTTTAGCACCAATACATTAAATGAGGATTTAATCTCAAGCTGGTCTATGATTTGATCCAGAAGACTCTTAAGTTGTTAAAACTGCATGAAGGGCTTCTTATTTGCTTTGAAGCACCTGGAGAAGACAAAGAAGTCCAGGTTCTAAGAATTGTGGTACTCAGAGGTGTGGCTACCCAAATTCTATCTTATAAATCTGGAATGACTGACCTGTAGCTTGAATGCCCAAGGTATATCAGAAGTTACAACAGGGACCTGAAAAATGTAATATATATTTTGGAAAGTTGTTTGTTCACTATAAATTTGGACACCTCTTCAGCTTGTAACCAACTTTTTGCATACAGATCCTGAGTTCAAGGAGCAGGTTTTCCACAAGGTTTGGATATAATTGGACAGCATTTTGAATCAAAATGGCACACTGAATCTTTCAAAACTGCACTGATGTTAATCACGGATTTCAAAACTGCAATGGTTGTTTTTTTAATTAGAATTCCCAAGTAACATTAAGGCTGCCAGTAAATCAATAATCTGGGGGAAGGAAACATCCTTGGGAAAATATACATTTGGAATAGATAAAATAATAAGTAATACAACAAAACACAGCACCCTTTTGGCTTATTCCCCAGTGCTTTTCAAGTCAGATATATGCACAAATTATACCTCTACAAAACTGATAAAAAAGGATTTTCCTCCCACAGAAAAATCTATATTAAAGCAGCTCTAAATTGCAGACTTTCTGGAAGGAAAAAAACCCTGTTTGCCAACAGATCTTTAGTTCCACTTTATAGAACAGCTGCCTGTATTTCAGCATGGAATAAGAGAGTGATGTTTTGTTTTTTTAACAGAAAGGGAAACATGACAAAATGAAGGCAGCTGTTACTTTCCACAACGTGCCAACATTTTTCTTTTTTTATGCCTTTGTGAAGTAATGTATTTGCATTCATAAGCATGGGGAGGTTTTGCATTCCAGAATCTGTTTAGCTCTGGGATAACTTGACACATTCAAATAATACTTTCATTGACTGTCCTTTCAGAGTGACAACCTATGATCAGTGATTTAGGGAGGATTGACCAAATATAAAAGTGGGACCAGCAAAAGAAATGTTATAACAGAAATGTAGAAAGAAAGAAAGAAAGAAAGAAGAAAGAAAGAAAGAAGGAAAAAAAGAAAGAAGGAAAGAAGGAAAGCTTTCTAGTTTTCCTGTAAGATAAGAACCTCTAGGACAGATTTTTTTTCAATTTTGTGAAAATCGTCCAGGGACTTGCAGCATTTTAATTTTAGCTATTTATAAATATATAAATTGATTATGGGGAGTGGGCAAGCAGAAAGATAGAATTAATATTGAAAGCATCTTCAGTCCCCCCTCCAAATCCAATGTATTAGCAATTCCATTTTCTGTTTTCTTTGTCAGAAATAAAAATTATTTCTGATCGCACACATCATCTGCTACCTGATCCTTTTAACTGGAGATGCCAGAGGATTGAATCTGGAACTTTCTGCATGCATACCATGAACCATGGTCCCCCTCCTGGTTTTCCTTGCAAGACTTTTGTGCTGCAATTGTGATCTCATTGTGTCATATTAGCGTCATCTGAGGAATGATATTTCCCCGTCAGGAATTAATCTGGCATTCCTCGAAGGCCATCCGAGCAATGTGAGCTTGACTTATCAGTGATATTCTTTGTTGGGCCATGTGAAACATGTCCAGATTTGGCAGCAATTCATAACAAACACAGAAGAAAGTATGCCACTGTTTAAGGCAGTTGCCTGAAGTGTGAGAACTATGTCTGACAGATGGTGGGAGCTATCTCCTATCCGAAGCCGCCTTAATTTGGGGATGTTGAAAAAACAGCTTTATCCTCTTAGGCCTTGCACCCCCTTGACCCTAAAGAGCAAAAAAAGAAGATGCAACAGAATTCAGGAAAAGAAAAGAAAAAGATGATGGACTTCCTGTTTTCCACAAAAGGAAGCACAAACCCAAAAAACTAAAAATATCAGTGACCTAAAATTAACTTTTGGACTTGCGATGTTATCAAATTCTATAAGAGGAAATAAGGATATAAGAAGCAGGCCTTTACGCTATAAACAAGCTATCAAGAGGGGGAAAAAATGAAACTTTGTGAAAAGACAATGTATTCCCCATAAAATATAAAAGTATTTTGCAAAACTGTGCAAAATGGGAAAATTAGTCCACTCATATTTTCACAGCATTGTGGTATAATTAAATCACATCAAGGAAAGTAAGCTACAAATTGGCTACCAGAAAAACATATCTGTCACACCTCTCCGTTTCCCCCTTTACAGCCAGGGTGGTTCTCCAGATGTTGCTCATCTACAGCTCCTATCATCCCTGGTTATTGGTCATGCTGGCTGAGGCTCATGGGAGTTGGAGTCCAAGAACATCTGGAGGACTACCCCTGCTTTACAGGATGGCTCTCTCTTATGTATTTAGACATTTCATGAGGACATTGAACCCTGACTGTTCCTTTGTGGAAATGTTTGTTCATGTGACATTACTCATATAACCAACACAGCTTCTTTGTCATTTGGAAATTATTTATTGATTTTATTATTATTTGTTGAATTCATATACCACCCTATACCCGGAGGTCTCAGTGCAATTCACAGAATAAAATCAAAATATAAAACCACAAAATATATAATCAAACTAAAAACAACAACCCAATAACCTCCCCCCCAAAGAAACACCACATTTTAAAAGGGCATAGGATGTCAATCAAATCAACTAAAGGCCTGGTTAAAAAGGAACATTTTTGCCTGACGCCTAAAAGTATAATGAAGATGCCAGGTGAACTTCCCTGGGGAGAACATTCCACAGACAGGGAGCCACTGCAGAGAAGGCCCATTTTTGTATTGCCACCCTATGGACCTCTCGAGGGAGAGGCACAGGAAGAAGGGCCTCAGAAGATGATTTCTGGGTTCATAGGGAAAGAGGCGGCCCTTGAGGTATTGTGTTCCTGAGCCATTTAAGGCTTTATAGGTCAAAACCAGCACTTTGAATTGGGCATGAAGCTAATTGGTAGCCAGTGCAGTTGGACCAGGATTGATGTAATATGCTCCAGTGAGCAACCTGGCTGCTGAATTGGGCACTAGCTGAAGTTTCTGAACCGTCTTTAGAGGCAATATGTATAACACATTACAGTAATCTAGCTTTGAGGTTACCAGAGCATAGACAACAGTAGTTAGGCTATCCCTGTCCAGATAGGGGCGTAGCTGGGCCATGAGTTGAAGCTGATGGAAGGCACTCGGGGCCACTAAGGCCACCTGAGCCTCGAGCCACAGCAAAGGATCCAGGAGTACCCCCAAGCTATGAACCTGCCCCTTCAGAGGAAGTGTAACCCCATCAAGAGCAGGTGATCTCCCACCCATCTGGTCTAGGGAACCACCCACTAACTGTGCCTCAGTCTTATCTGGATTGAGTTTTAGTTTGTTGGCTCTCATTCAGTCCTTTACTGAGGCCAGCACTTCCACTGCCTCACTTGAAGATGTAAAGGAGAAATAGAGCTGAGTGTCATCAGCATACTGCTGACAATGTACTCCAAACCTCCCGATAACCCCACCC